TGCGGATGCAACTCCTGGGGGGTCAGATTCAGTCTCGGCGCTGGTAGATCCGTAGTCGAAAGCCAGCATGCTCCTGCCTAATCGCGCTTCGCCTGGCTGAATCCCGCCGAATCCGGCGCAATCTGGTTTAATCCAGCCTGATCCCGCTGAGTCCGGGTTGATATGGCTCAATCCTGGGCTCAGTCTGAGCTTAGCCTGGCTTAGTGGGCCCTTGAACCGGGCTTAGTGGGCCCTTTAATCGGGCTTACTAGCCCTCGACCGTTCTTCCGACGACCTCCCAGGAGTTGCCTCCTTCCCTTCGCCCCGCCCTCCTGCGCGCCCTCCGCCAAAGAGGCGTACGAGAGCTGGGCCGACCAGTTCCCTATCGCCGCGGCGCGGCGGGACTTCTACGGGCTCGACTGCAGCAGGGCTGCCGTGGAGGCTCGCTTCCTCTACCTCGCGGACCAGATGGACCTCTCGGCAGAGGAGGCGCTGGACATCTTCCGCCCGGACCTGTGGGTGCTATGCGAGCCCTCCGAGAAGATCCCCGAGAAGGTGAAGGCCCTGCGATCCCTCGCCGCGTCCAGCGAGGAGGTCGTCGACTTTGTGCGCGCGGCGCCCAGGGTGATAGGCTCAGCATCGCCTAAAACAGCCCTCGACCCCACTGGGCCATGACATCTCAGCCCCACCAGATCCCACCCTCCCGTGTGGGGATAGGCCCCGTGGAGCCCTGAGGGACAGGCCTGTCGCCTTACCCAGGTGGGGTAAGTCGGCTGGCCACGCCAGTGGGGACCAGGATCGGTCAGACGATGCTCACAGGCACCACGACGGCGGAGGAGATGCGAGGGCGAGGCCTCCTGAACATGCGCGTGCGGGCCGCGGTCGGGGACGGGTACGAGCTGCTGATCTCCCCATTCCGCCTACTCTTCAAGGCGATGGCGAAGATGACCGCTGGCGACATCACGCGGGAGCGGGAGGCGGCGGCCAAGGGTGGCTCCTCGGAGGCGGACAGCATCGACGAGGCGGACAGGAGGGTGAAGGCGGGTGAGGAGAGCGTTCGGCAGGTGCTGTCGGTCGTCCTCTTCGGGGGCATATTCGCCGTGCTCATCCCGAAGAAGAAACAGCGGCATACGCATAGTCAAGCTTTCGGGATCCGCGTGGGTCTCTTGGATCGGCGCTGGACCCCCTTCCCTGGCGGGCGGCGAGCGCCAGGGGCGGCGCTGCAGGCGCCACCAGGAGGGCCCTTCGCCGATCCAAGAAATCAGCGCGGAGCTACGACATGTCATGTTCATGTCGCTTTCTCTTATTCGATCATCGCGGGAATCTACGTGGACAACACGTACGGCGGTCTCGTGCACGGCAAGGGCATCTGCCCCGCCAGCCCCTGGGCCGCGTACAGCAGGCCCGACGCCGCGGGCAACACGGGGCTGCCCTGTAGCTGCGCTCCCATCTCCAGGTGGTACCTGGAGGATCCGCGGATTGCATCTGCACACCGCCAGGAGGAGGAGGAGGAGGAGGAGGAGGAGGAGGGGAGGAGGTGGAGGAGGAGGAGGATGAGGAGGAGGAGGAGGAGGAGGTGGAGGAGGAGCGAGGACGACGTGGGAGGAGGAGGAGGAGGGGGAGGAGGAGGTGTCTGCACACCACCATGCGTGCCGGGCCTGGGACCTCCTGGGCCCCAGGGTGGCGCAAGCACAGGTCCGTCCAGGCTCGGCCGGGATGGCGCTGAGCACGCCACGCTGGGGCCCAGGATGGTGTTGGGCGCCTCCTCCTCCTCCTCCTCCTCCTCCTTCTCCTCTGCCTCCTACTCCTTCCCCTCCTCCTTTTCCTTCTCCTTCTCCTCCTCCTCCTTCTTCTCCTCCTCCTCCTCCTCCTCCTCCTCCTCCATGCGCACACACAGACACGCCAGCGGCGCGCTCGTGCTCTCTGCGCCGAGGACGCGCCCAGCGCCGAGGTCTACCCGAAGCTCAGGGAGGGCCGCTTCGACACGGCGGGTTGGGTCGCAATTCGTGGGGGCCTTGCAGGTCCTCGCAGTTCCCTCTTCAGAGTGCGTCAGAGTGCCGTAGCGTCTGGGCATCGGTCGGACAGCGCCGAGTTGGCGTCGATGAGTGTAGGTTCGGCATCGATTAGCGTCGACCAGCGTCGACTGGCGTCGATTTGGCGTCGGTCAGCGTCGATTCGCAAGAGCCAGCAAGATGGCGTGTGAGGCAGGCTCCCGTGAGTTGCCACCGAAGGTGGGCGGTTGCGTGTGGACGGCCGAGGACCTCGCGCGGGACCCGTCGTACTGGGACGGCGGCCGGGAGCTTCTGTACTGGGAGAAGAGGAGGCTCGAGGCGAAGGGGTGA